CCCCCCCACCCCACACACACACACTATCAGATCTGGTTTGGTACGTAAACTGAACATATTCAGCAATCTCTCCCCATCCCTTCCCATCCCTTCCCCCTTCTCACCCTCCCCTCCCCCCTCCCCCCCCCCACCACACACACTCGAGCTCATCACCCTTGCCAATGCCTTCAGCACAGCAGTGCTGATCAACCGCCAGCTGGCGAAAGTGATCATTCCCCACCACCACCCCCACCTGTCCCGACCTCCACACAGCCAACTCACAGCCATGCACACCCTCACACTGTGCTGTTTGGTGGTACTGGTGCTTGCATGCCCAGCTCTGGCTACACTCAACATTCATATGGTACGCCTTTGGCCAATGGTCCTCGGTCCTTGGCGGCAGGAACAAGGTCCGGGCGCACCTGTTGGCTGCACGCCTTTTTGACGGCTTTTTCTGCACTTGCCGTCGCGTCCAACACAACCATCTACCAGCGACGAGGCCTTTTCTTCCCACTCCCTGATGTTCGTCTGAGTTCCTTTACAATGATGACCCTTCTTTGCTTGCCAAGGCCTGGTGTGCGCACCTCCATAGCTTGCACGCATCGCCTGCTCTGCATCTCACGCCTGGTCTCCTTCTCTTGCAGATCTGCCACACCCATGACGATGTGGGGTGGCTCAAGACGGTGGACGAGTACTATATGGGAGCCAACTCGTCGATCCAGCTGGCAGGCGTGCAGTACATTCTCGACTCGGTGATGCCTGCGCTGGAGGCGAAACCGGAGCGCAAGTTCATCTACGTCGAGCAGGCCTTTTTCCGCATCTGGTGGTCGCAGCAGGACGCGGCGATGAAGGCCCGGGTCCGCAAGCTGGTCGCCGACGGTCAGCTCACCTTTGTCGAAGGAGGCGACGTTATGCCTGACGAAGCCAACCCGACGTTCTCCGACTGGGTCGACGCCCTCACCCGCGGCCAGCGGTTCCTGCTCGACGAGTTTGGGCCCGAGGCCTCGGTCGCCTCGTCGCAGGTCCTGTGGCAGATCGACCCGTTCGGCCACTCGCGGACCGTGGCGCTTGCCGCTGCGCTTGGTGGCGCCAACATCGGCGTCCTCGGCCGCATCGACTACCAAGACATGGCTCATCGCGAATCAACCAAGCGCATGGAGTTTGTGTGGAAGACCTCGCCGTCGCTGGCGAGCATGGGTCCCACCGCCGATCTCTTTACCCTGAAAACCTTCAACGGCTACGGCCCGCCCGATGGGTTCTGCTTTGACGTCGTGTGCGACGCGCCGCCGATCCAGGCTGATCCGCTCCTCGAGGACGTGAACATCAAGGAGCGCGCCGACGCCTTTGTCGCCGCCGCCAAGAACTGGGCCTCCGTCTATACCTCAAACAACGTCATGATGACCATGGGCTCGGACTTTCAGTACCAGGCCGCCAACATGTGGTTCAAGAACCTCGACCTACTCATGGGCTACATTCAGGACAACGCCGCCGCCTACGGCGTCGACATCTTCTACTCGACACCACAAAACTACGCCGCGTATGTCCACGCTGCCAATCTCACCTACACGTACAAGACCGATGACTTTTCCCCTACGCCGATGCGCCCGCCGCGTACTGGTCTGGCTACTTTACCTCGAGGCCGGCACTCAAGCGCTACGTCCGCTCCAACTCGGCCTATCTCCGCCTCTCGCGCCAACTCGAGGCTGCAGCCATGGCAGCCTCGCCATCGGGCCCGGTCGGCTCTACCGACGGTCTCTGGGACGCGGTCTCGGTCCTGCAGCACCACGATGCCGTGGCCGGAACCGAGAAGCAACACGTTGCCAACGACTACGCCAAGCAACTCTACATCGGCCACGCCCACGCCGACGCCCTCACCTCGGACGCCCTCGCCCGCCTCACCGAGCGTTCGTACTCGGGCCTCGTCTTTGACCAGTGTCGCCAGGCCAACGTATCTATCTGCGCCGCCACTCAGGGCGTGCCTGCCCGCGACGGGCCGGGCGTCGTCGTCGTCCTCTACAACCAGCTCGCCACGGCCACCAGTGTTTGGCACCGCCTCCCAGTCGACTCGACCGAGTGGGCGGTGGTCAACGCTACCTCGGCTCCGGTTCCGGCCCAGATCGTGGTCAACCCGCCGCCGCTCCCCGGCCGGCCGACTGCCTCCAAGTACACGCTGGTCTTCCACGCCGCAGACCTCCCGCCGATGGGCTATGCCACCTTCTTTCTGGTGCCTGCTTCGTCGGCGGCGCCGGCGGCTACGCTCGCTGCCCGCGCCGATGGCCCGCCGAATCCGGTAGGCAACGCTCACTTTGAGCTTACCTTCAGATCCGACGGCCTCCTGGCGGCATACACTGACAAGGCGCGCGGGCGGACAACCAAGCTTGTCCAGCGGCTGGCGTACTACAATGCTTCCGCTGGCGGCGAACAGCCTCATCCGCCGGTTCTCAACGAGTTCCAGGCCTCGGGGGCGTACATCTTCCGACCCAACTCGTCGGCGCTGTTCTCTACCGGGCACGCCGCCGGAGCCGACATCTCGGTCCAGAACGGCCCCTTTGGCGTCGAGATCCTTCAGCGCTTCTCCGACTGGGCCTACCAGCAGATCTTTGTCTACGCTGGCGAACTCGCACCTACCGTCGAGTACACCATCGGTCCGGTGCCCATTGCCGATGCCGACGGTAAGGAGGTGGTCACCGTCTTTGCCTCGGAGCTCGACTCGGGTGCTAACTGGCACTCGGACGCCAACGCCCGCGAGATGATCGCCCGCCGTCGCAACTACCGTGCCACCTGGCAGCTCAACTGCACCCAGGCCATCGCATGCAACTACGTCCCTGTCAACACTGCAATGTACCTTGAGGATGACGCGGCGCGCCTCACCCTTGTCACTGACCGCTCCAACGGCGGCTCGTCCATGGCGTCTGGCGAGCTGGAGCTCATGATCCACCGTCGCTTGCTCTTTGATGACGCGCGCGGCGTCGGCGAAGCCCTCAACGAGACTGGCATCACTGGCAACGGCCTCATCATCCGGGCCCGCCACATGTTCCACGTCGGTAGCCCCGAGTCTGGTGCCGACTTTCAGCGCCCGGCCGTTGCTCGCATCACCTACGAGCCGACCGCTTTCTTCGCCCCGCTCACGGGAACGCCCGCCGAGTGGGCCGTCGCTCATCGCACGGCCTGGTCCGGCCTCTCCGCCCCGTTTCCGCCCAACGTCTTCCTCCAGACCCTGCAGCTCCTTGATCCAACCACCGTCCTCCTCCGCCTCTCGCATCGATACGCGCTCGGTGAGTCGGCCAAGTGGTCGCGCCCAGCCACCGTCAACACCACTGGCCTTTTCACCGCCTTTTCCATCACCGCATGGACCGAGCTCGCACTCACCGCCAACCAGCCTGTCGCCAACCTTCGCTCTCGGTTTGTCTGGAACTCATCCGGCGGGCCCGAAGCTGCCGTCGCTTCGCCACTGCACAGCGCCGTCAACCGTGCTTCTCCGTTCCGGCCCTCGCCGCATCGCCCAGATCGCGGCTACGGCACGGGCCCCTCAGTCGAGCTCCTCCCCATGGAGACCCGCACCTTTGAGCTCGTTGTCGAGTGGAAGCATGAGGCCTAAAGAGTGTTTCCCACCACCAGGCTTGGGCTGCCCTTGTCGGGCGCGCGCTAGCGGTCAGCGCACGAAACGATCTCTTCCAAAAACGTCAGCGTCCACAGCTCCAAAGACAGAAGCACGCGGCGAGGCGGCCAGGCGCCTTCCGCCAGCCACTCGCCACCAGTCAGCCGCAAGCAACCTCGCTGGAAGCCAGCTCTCTCTCCCTTTCCAAACATGGACAGCCTCTTCCTCGAGCTGCTCCAGCCACGCGAGCCACTACCTCCGTCGCTCCATGGCTCTGTCCCGTCGCGCCTGACCCTCGCCCGGCTGGTGGTTCGTGTGGCCACCTCGGCGTGGACAGCACCGTGCGGGACGGTTCCAGAGACCTCGCTACGGGCAACTTTGGAGCATGCAGCCTCACATCTGCCGCAGGCTTTGGTTGCTGTGGACTTGCTGGCGCCAGCAGAAGGCGTTGTGGCCGACCTCGCCGCCCTGTTGGTCACCCCGCTCCGACCGGACTCGCCGCGCACGGCATGGGTCCACATCGCCCTGGCCTCACTCCTTGCATCGGCGGCAGCATGCGCAGAGACGTGCTTGGAAGCCGCGCGCCCGCGGGCGGCGCAGGGTTTTCTATCGCTCGTCGAGCGGTATGCCGGCTACGCCGACCGCACGCCAGAGGTGGTGGCCCTCGAGGCGGGAGTGCAGAAGCGGCTCGGCGACATCGAGATCGCGCTCTTCGACACACCGCAAGACACGCCGGGTGCCCGCGATGAGCCTCTCTTTCCCAGACTCGAGCAGCTTCGAGCCAACTCGCCGTTTGAGGCCCTGCCACCGCTCCCAGCCTATACCCGCATCGCCATCCGGTATGCTGAGGCTGAGCGCCAGGCGACCGAGCATGCCGCCCAGCGCCGCCACCAGGTAGCGCTCCTCCGCAATGCCGGCATGTTTGAGCTCTTCCACACCGACGCGTTTGACGTCGGGCTTTGGCCTGCCCGTCTCCATCGCGCGAGGCAGAACGTCGGCGAGCTGACGTTGGCAGCGGCGGCAGACGAGCTGCTCGCCCTCGCGGAGCGCACGTATCTGGCTCAGGCCTTTGACCTCGCGGTAGCGTTTGGGGCGCTGGCGTTTGAGGCTGGTATGGGCGGGGACGACGCGTGCTGGGGGCACGCCTTTCGGGCCCACGAGCTGCTTGCTGCTGCCGTCCGCGCGGCGCTTGATCCGAGCTCGTTTCGGCTGCAGTACTCCGAGTCGCTGCCGCCCCTGGAGCTGCCGTGGGCCGAGGCACGGGAGGGCCTGGCAGCGTCGCGCGAGAGTGTGGCAGACGCACCGTGGCTTGACCCGTCCATCCACGCCACCCAGCTGCTTGATGTCCACCTGCAGACTAGCGACCACCGGGTCGAGCTATTCCGAGCGCTCATTGCCGACGCGCTCGCCAGCGTCGCCCCTCCCCTCACAACCTACCATTCACGGTTCTCTCGCTCGGCTCGATGTCAGCCGGGGCCATGTCGATGTACTCGGACGTCGAGTTTGCCATTTTACACGGGGTGTGTGAGGCAACGCCGTGGTTTGAGGAGGCTGTTCGATCACGGTTGACGGGTGCGTCTGCAGAGGTCTCGGCGGTGAGCTCGGCCAAGACTGCGGCGGTGCCGGAGAGCGTCGGCGCGCCGCAGCACGAGGTCGAGGCCGAGGCCGAGGTCTCAGCTCGTATCGAGGCCGAGCTCAAGGCAGAGTACCTTACCGAGCTAGAGGCCTGGTTCGAGGTCTTTGTCACTGCACTCGAGCTCAAGGTCATTGCGCTCGGCGAGACGTCGCCCAACGCCAACTCGGAACGGTGGTCACGCGGCTTTTGCTTTGACGACGGCGGCAACACGCCGCTGGTCAAGGATCCCAAACTCATCCAAACGCCTGAGGGCATGGTAAGCCTTCTCTGGCCGCCCGGCTCCTACGTGCCGGACCTCATGCTTGTTGGTGCGCTGCCGGACGCCGGGTTTCTCTTTGGCGACGTCGATCTGTACGACGAGTTCCACACGCGAATGAGGGCGCTTCTGGCCACGCCGCATCCGACGCTCCGCGGCACGCTTGGTCAGGTCTATGGTGCTGTATTGCTGAAGGAGGCCCTCGGCGAGGGCTTTAAGCCCAAGTTCCTCTCCAGCGCCACGCCTCTGCTTGACGTCAAGCAGTCGATGTATCGGTTCTGCTCGCTGGTTGTTTCGGGCATGGTCCGGCTCTTTGCGCGAGTGATCACGACGTCAAACGCTCGGCGGCCGGCGTACATCTCGCACCGGGTCCGAGTCCGGTCGCTGGTCGCGGACCGCGCGCTCGACGCCATCATCGGGCGGGCACTGTTGATGGGCATTGCGCTCGCTGCGCACCTCCGCAACAAGGCTCAGGCGTTGGCCGGCACCGAGGCCAATGTGGTGTACGCGAGCGAGGATGCTGTCCCGGCGGGGACCCGAGGCTACGTCGTGCCGCCCGGGGCGGTCGAGACCCTCGCACGGGTGTACCACGCGCACGTCGAGCCGGCTTGGCAGGCTGCTGTCGATTTCCACGACCAGCTGCTCGAGCTTGGCATCGGGCAAGTGGCCAGCGGCGCGCTCCACGAGGTAGCGTGGGAGTCGGGCGGTGGCGACGACACTGGGCTGCAGGTCTCTGCGCCTGTGCGGTTCCAACTCGCGCTGTCGGACACATCGCGGTTCGCGGAGGCTCAGGCCGAGCACGTGCTTGACCACGTAAGCGAGCGGTCTGAGCTTGGTACGCTCCTTCATGCACTCTCGCATACACTGCTGAGCATTTCGACAGCGGAGCCACCACGAGCGGTGGGAGGCGGTGGGCGGCGGGCTGAGGCGTCTGCTGCGGTCCACGTCTCGACCTGGCCGCTGGAGAGCAGCGGCGGCAACGGGCCGCCAGTGGTGGTGGAGCACGGCGTGGCGGCGTGGTGGACAGCTGTGCTTGCGTTTTCGCGATCGATCGACATCCGGTCGCGACGGTACCGGCTCCGCGTGTACCGGGAGTGCTTTGTGGGCAACGAGGCGGTGCGGCTGCTGAAGGCGACGTTCCCCGATGTCAACACAACCGGGCAGGCGCTGGCGGTGGGCAACACCATGATGCGCGAGGGCGTGTTCAGCCATGTGGTCGACAAGAAGCAGGTCTTCCGCGACGGCCACTTTTTCTACCGCTTCTCCAAGGACCTTGATCTGGCTGCGATCGCGGCCAAGGCTCGGAGAGAGGAGCGGGACAGCCACAGCTCGCATCGGACGTCAACCGGGCTTGATGCGGCGCTGCTGCAGCAGCTCTCGCCGCTCATTGCGTGGATTGTCGACGCCGACCACACGCCGTGGCAGCTGCTCACCTCTGCTGGCCACGAGCCTGCGGCAGCCGTCGAGTCCCCTAATGTCCTTGATTCTGTGGTTGTCTCGGGCCTCTGGGGTCACGTGGCGGCACTCGACGCATGGTATCAGGCGTTGGTGACGTCCAAAGCCTTTCCGTCCGGCACCGCTGCACTCAAGGAGAAGCTCTGCACTGTGTGCCGGGCGCTAGCGGCGCACTTTACGGTCGCGGCTGAGAGCATGGGTGAGGTTGTAGCGACGCTTCGGACGCAGCCGGGCGAGTCAGTCGAAGCGCAAGCTGCGATGGCGGTGGCGCGGGATGCGGTGCAGCCACACGTGGTGGTGCATGGTGTGACAAGTGGCGTGAGGGTACTGCGGGCGGGGGGCGACCAGACGCTAGTCGAGGCTGCGGTGCAGGGCAAGCTTGCGCTGAAGCCCATCCAGGCCTCGCCCGGATTTACGTATGCGATGCAGCTGTTCATTCCGCTCACGATTGCGGGCGGGGCAGCGCTGGACGAGCGAGTGCTGGCGGACCTTGTCAAGGTGCAGCCGCGGCACAACGCGATGCGGATGAGCCCGAGCCGGGCGCAGGCGAGTGACCTCTTTCATGTTTTTGCCAAGTACCCGGGCGAGGAGTCTCTGCGCGCTGTACTGGAAGCGCGGCCTCACGGCGATGACGTGCTCTCGACCTCGTGGCTGCCGTGGCAGTACACGACGGCGTTCCTGCGGACAACGCTGATGCAGCCGTCGTCGGCGTCTGCAGACGCGTACAAGGTGCGGTACATGAAGCGAGCCGATGGGAGCAAAGTGCCGATTGCGCTTCCGGTGGCGCACTCGAACTTGTTTGCCGCCGACGCGTTTGGATGGGCAGCATCGCTCGGGCAGCGGCGCACGCTCTCGATTGCGCTCTGCTTTGACCAGATGCTGGCTCCGATGGACGAGGAGGCTATGAAGGCGTTCATGGACCGGCGGCCGCAGACGGTCATCTCGATGTGGCTTGCGGCCATGGACCGATATAATCGGCGGATCGAGGCCATGTTTACACTCTCGGAGCTCGACGACCTGTTTGCCGGCGGCGACGGGTCGCTGCTGCCGTTTTTCGTGCCTGCGGACCTTGTGCAGAACTTGTATGATCGGTATGTACACATGCAGGCACTGCTTGCGTCTGCCGTGGACGCCGGGGCGCCACTGACGCACCTCGAGCTGCTTCTTGCGATTGATCCGGACATCGGTGCCATGTACCGCGAGGTGCTTGAGAGCGCACCAGGACCGCTGGCGCGGTATGCGGCGGCGGAGAAGAGGATGGCAGCGGCAGCAGCGGCGGTGCGTGTCCGGGCAAACTCAACAAGCCCGCGCGGAGCGCCTGCGTCTGCATGGGGCAAGTCGCGGCTCTCGAGCGTGTCGGCGTTTGTGGCTGACGGGCGGATGGAGCCGCAGGCGGTGCTGGGCAGCTTGCAGTTTGACAGCGCCGAGTCATCACAGATGGCGCTCGCTGGCGCGCGCGACTCGCTGGTGTACGGCAACGGGAGCGAGTTTGCGGCGCTGGGCGAGCTGGGTGCCAAGGAGAACGTGGTGCGGCTGGTCCCGTTTGCCAACCTCTCGCCTGGCGAGCAGGTCCGTGTGCTGGAGAATGTGCGCGATACGCCGTTCGTCTCGCTCACGCTCCGCGGGTGCTCGGTCCTGCGGACGAGCGGCTGGCAGCGATTCTGGAGCACACGCCGCATCTGGAGCTTCTGGACGTCTCGTTCTCGAGCGGGCTTGTCTCGCCGACCGGCTCGTTGACGGAGATGCCCAAGCTGCACACGCTCGTTCTACGTGGGGTGACAACGCTTGCTGCGCTGGAGCAGAGGTCGCGGCGGTCGCGTTACCTACCTGCCCTCGCGCGGCTGGATGTGCGCGGATGCGGGGCGCTGAAGATGTTGGACATTCCCAAGTTCCCGCTCTCGATCCGGATCGACCCGTCGGGGCTGGCCAACATGGAACGAGTGCGGGTAGCCGGAGTCGAGTGGACGCTCGCGGTGTGCCTGGTGATCAACACGCTCAACAACACGCAGGCAGACACGTTGCAGCTGGAGGATGTGAGCGGCGTGTCTGCGGCTGAGGTGCAGAGCCTTGTGGGCGTGGTCTCCAAGTCGCAGTTTGTCAACGCACTGATGCTCAACCGGGTGAGCTTTGCCGGCGGCGCCGGCAACTTGATCCCGCAGCTGATGCGGAGCGCAAACGCGCTCAAGTGCGTGACCATTTCCGGGTGCCGTGGGGTGGAACTTGCGGCAGTTGTGGCGGCTGCGACCGAAAGCGCGCATCTTCGCCAGCTCACACTGAGCGAGTTTGACTTTGCGGCCGGCGGCGGGGCGCTGGTGCGGCAGTTTGATGCCATGCTGCAGGCGCGGTCGAGCCTGCGTGCGCTGACGCTGCGTGGGTGTGGGCTCAATGGGTGCAGCAGGGTGCTCGCGGCGCTAGGACGGGTGCTTAACCGGCGCGGCGGGGGGCTCTCATCGCTGGATCTGAGCGACAACGGAATCTCGGGTCTCGGGCTCGCGGAGGTCATCTCGGGCCTGCTTGGGGGTGGCGAGGCGTCGGCGATGGGCGCACTGGGCATGATGCTGGGCTCTGCCATGTCGCGGGTGGGTGTAGGCGGGCGCAAGGTGAGCGGGGGTGGAAACTCTGGAGCTGTACACGGCACGTCGCTGACAACGCTTGTGCTCGACGGCAACGCGCTGGGAGGGCGCGATCTTGGGGCGCTAGGCGGGGCGCTGGCGGCCAACTGCTCACTCACGGCGCTCTCCCTCAGCCGCAATCCGATCGGGGAGCATATGGCGTCGTTTGCGCGTGGGCTCTCGGGCAACACGCGGCTGACGACGCTCGAGCTCGACTCTGCGCAGCTTGGCGACGCCGGGGCGCTTGCGCTCGCCACGGCGCTCGCGGGCAACCGCGCGCTGCGGTGGCTCTCATTGCAGGCGAACCGAATCTCTGCCGATGCTGGAGCCGAGGTTGTGGCCGCGCTTGTCTTTGTCACCCACCTCAATCTCGCGTTCAACGGGTGGGGCGAGGAAGAGATGTTTGAGGCGCTGGCGGTGGTTGCCGCGCGGGTGAGCAGCGCAGGTGCCGAGTCTGACGACGACGACGTGTCTGAGGCATCTGACCCGGTCAGCGAGGGTGAGACTGGTAGCAGTAGCAGCGCACAGGCACCGAGCAGCGACCGCAAGCGGACAGTGTTTGTGGGAGAGTCCGCCGTGGTCGAGCTCCCGTGGGGCGTGGCGCAGCAAAAACCTGCGAAGAGTAGTTCCCAGAAGGAATGAATTTGTTCGCAAAGAGAACAACGCGGTGGCGTCAAAAACGGACCGAGGCGGTGCAGCGGACGGGTGTGCCGATGACTCGGCACAACTCGACTCAACATGGCCGACACTGTGGATCTCAATGAGATCACCGAGTACTTTGACGACGAAGAGGTGCTAGCGGACAAGTGCCGCGAGCTGGCTGGCCTGATTGCGCAAGCGCGCAAGGGTTACTTTTTCACGGGCGCGGGCCTCTCGACGTCTGCGGGCATCTCCGACTACCGTGGGCCAAACGGGGTGTGGACGCGGAGGGCGCAGGGGCGATCCGCCCCGCGCGGGGTGAGAATCACACAGGCGACGCCGACGTACGCGCACATGGCGGTGGCGGCGCTTGTGGAGACAGGGGAGATGCGCGGAGTGGTGAGCCAGAACGTCGACGGCCTGCACCGGCGATCGGGGGTGGCGCGGGCGGACATCGCCGAGCTGCATGGCAACTGCTACCTTGAGGTGTGCTGGAAGTGCGAGATGGAGCACCTACGGACGTTTGACGTCTCCGAGCGAATCAATGGGTCTGGGCGGTGCAAGGAGTGCGCCAAGCGGGTACCACACTTTTGCCACTGCACCTCGCGCAAGTGCGGTCGCCGCGGGTGTGGGGCGGTGCTCAAGGACTCGATCATCCACTTTGGTGAGAATCTGCCCGAGGGAGATCTGGAAAAAGCATTTGCGTGGGGCCGCAAGGCGGATCTGTGTGTGGTGCTCGGCTCGTCGCTGCGGGTGACGCCGGCGGCGGACGTGCCAGCCGAGACGGCGGGGCGCGGCGGAGATCTGGTCATTGTTAACCTGCAAAAGACACCGCTTGACGACGAGGCTTCGCTCATCATCCGCGGGCGCATCGATGATGTGATGACGCGAGTGATGGCGGAGCTTGGGCGGAGCGACGAGGTGCTCCCGTTCTACGAGTCGCCGGCGGCCGTTGCCGAGGCGGCGCGGATGGGTGTGCCCCCGCCGCCGGCCGCAGTGGCGAGGATGGATGGCGCCGCAGCCGCGCCAAGCTGTCCCGACACGCTTTTTGTTGGCAACACGGCGAGGGCGAGCAAGAAGAGCCGCAACACCAAGTGGACTGTGTACGTCCGCCCGGCAGTGGCTGACGCGCCCGATGGCACCGCCGTCGACGACATCATCGAGACCGTAGAGTTTGGTCTTCATTCTACCTTTTCCCCATCGCAGATTGAGGTGAGCCAAGCGCCGTACGAGATCACCCGCGTGGGGTGGGGCACCTTTGACGTGAAGATCCGAGTCCGCTTCCGCCCCGAGACCGGGCGAGCGCCGCTCGCGCTGGTCCATCCGCTCTCGTTCTCTGCCGGTGGATCGCAGGCTGATGTGGCGCTAGAGTGACATGATTGGTAAAGAGTGACATGATTGGTAAAGAGTGAGTGGTTGGTGGACGAGTGAGTGGTTGGTGGGCGGATCATCGAGCAGGTGGTCGGGCCATCGGGGAGGTGGGCGGGCCGTCGGGTTGGTTTGGCGGGCGGCGCCACTCGACGCCACGGCCGGTGACCGGCAGGCGGGCGATGGCGGAGTGCAGGGTGGGCATTACATTGTGTGACCTACCTGTCGAGCTTGTCCACCGCATTGCGTTCAAGTGCGCGGCCGGCGAGGTGGCGCGGCTGTCGGCGACGTGTCGCAGGCTCCACCGCATGCTGCTCGGCTCGGCCTACGGCCGCGACAAGACGCGGGTGCTCAAGGGGTTGGCCTGGTGCGTGGACGGCGGCTTCGAGCGGGCGGCACGGATGGCGCTGGCCGAGCCGGGCGCAGATCCGGGTGGAGACGACAACGATGCTCTGCGGACAGCGGCGATGCAGGGCCATGCCGGCATTGTCCGCGCTCTGCTCGCCCATCCGGCAGTCGACGCCACCGTCTTCTTCAACGAGCCGCTCATGTCGGCCTGCACATACGACCACGCCGACGTCGTCCGCGCCCTGATGGACATGTCCGAGGTCGATGTCACTGCACAGGAGAACCTAGCCATTCGCTCGGCCTGTGCTCACGGCTCGATCGACGTTGCTCGCCTCCTCCTCGCCTGTCCAGAGGTTGATCCCGCCGCCTGTGGCGCAGAGGCTCTCGAGTGGGCCATTCGTGGCGGCCACCTCGAGTTGGTGGCCGAGCTGGTGGCTGATCCGCGCATTGACGCTGCCGCTGATGGTTCAGCCGCGCTAAGCGTGGCAGCAAGCGTCGGTGAGTGCGGCATCGTCACGCTCCTCCTCGAGTGCCCGGGCGTGGATCCCAGCGCCAACAACTCGCAGGCGCTGCAGAATGCATGCGCGGGCGGACACACTCATGTGGTGGCGGCACTGCTGGAGGACGGGCGGAGTGAAGCTCATGCGGATCGGAATGCGGCACTGCGTCGCGCCGCCGGTCTCGGCCATGGCCGCGTCGTGGAGATGCTGCTGACAGTTGAAGGCGTGGACGCGAGCGACAAGCACAACGACGCTTTGCGGACGGCGGCGTCCGAGGGCCACGCCGAGGTGGTGGCGCTGCTCATGGCCTGTCCGAGCGTCGACGCCTCTGACTGCTGGAACGAGGCGATCCGACTCGCCGCCTCTGCCGGACACGCCGACGTGGTGGCTCACCTCATCTTGGACCCGCGGGTCAAGCCGGGCACCAACAACAACTACGCGCTGCGAACTGCGATAGCCCTCGGTCATGCTGACGTTGTGGCTCTCCTCCTCGCTCATCCCGCGGTCAACGTCGACGCGGTGGGCAGCAAGATGCTCCTGATCGCGGCTCAAAACGGCCACGCCGCCGTGGCCCGCATCCTCGCCGCCGACCCACGATGTGCACGATCAGAAGCCGAGCTCGTCTCTACTGCGAGCCTTGCGCGCAACTGTGGTCACGATGACGTCGCTGAGGCGTGTGAGGCTGCGGCAGTGCGACGATGGGGCGGAGCGGGACCGAGAGCGGGAGCGGGAGCGGGAGCGGGAGCGGGAGCGGGAGCGGGAGCGGGAGCGGTAGCGGGAGTGGGATGGCGAGCTCGGACGAGTGCTGGAGCTGGAGCGAGAGCGAAAGTGGGAGCGAGAGTGGGAGCAGCAGTGAATGATGTCCAGTGCGTTTGAGGAGGGTTGCGTCCGAGGTGGGTGAGGAGGATGGGTGTGGGTGGGCGCTGCGGTCCGAAAATATTTTTCAGCCATCCGCCGGGTCCACGCCGAGCGCCACCACATTGGTTCAACCGACACGTCGCCAAGGTTGTCTTGGCGGCGCGACGGCGACACGTCACCGCCAGCAGGAGCAGACATGGCGGCAGCAGGGGCAGGAGCGGGCGCGGGAGCAGGGACAGGGCCGGCGGTGCTGTGCGTGGCAGGGTATCTGGCGGTGCGTGGGCGGAAGCGAGTGGGCCGGTGGCGACGGCGGTTCCTGGCGCTGGAGGACACGACGCTGACGGTGTACAAGAAGGAGGGCAAGAAGGCGCTGGCGACTCTGAGTTTTACCTCTGATGCCCGCGAGACATACATCGAGGACTTGGCGTGTGCGACGCCTCCGGCATCGCCGGCCAAGGCCGCCAAGGCCGCCGCCAAGGCCGCGCGCGCCGCCGCCAAGGGCAAGGCCAAGCCGTTCCGTGTCTCCATCGGCGGCGTGCTGCTGCGGCTGCGAGCGCACACGCTCGATGCCAAGACGGCGTGGATGGACATGCTCTCGGCAGCTATCGAGATGGCTGTTGAGCGCGGTGTGCCGTCGCGAACAAACGGCGGTGTGGCCGGGCCGGGCCCATCTGGCGCGGGGCTTGCAGCCCTGCTCGACGGCGACGACGACGACGACGACGACTTGATGGACGATGACGAGGTCACGGTCATGGACTCAGACTCAGACTCAGACTCGGGCATGCATGGCTCGCGCAAGTGGCGGCGTTCGGTGCGCCCGGGCGGGGTGCTGCGCCGGCTGCGACAGAGCTCGCAGACCTCGGAGTCGCTGAAGCGGGCCGAGGAACGCAACGCCGAGCTAGAGGCGCGAGTCGCCGAGCTCGAGTCGACCAACTCGGCCTTGACGAGCAAGCTCGCCGCAGCCGAGGAAGACCGCGAACTGCTCGCTGACGAGCTGCGGTCCCGTAGCGCCGAGCATGAGCGGCTAGCGAGTGTCTTCTCGGCTCGCATCGAGGAGCTCATTGCCGAGCTCTCGGATCGGGACGACGAGTTGGCTCGGCTCAAGGCTGCCGTTGTGCCGCCAGTGTGGATCAAGAACAAGAACCGGAGTGGGTGCGCCGAGTGCATGCTTCCCTTTACCGTCACCCGGCGACGCCATCACTGCCGGCTCTGCGGCGAGATCTTCTGCGCCAAGTGCTCGGCGCACAAGGTCCCGCTCCTCCGTGGCAAGAACAAGAGCGTCCGCGCCTGCAACCGATGCGCGCTCCTCGCCAACACCTACTCGTGAGCGATCGAGCCTGCCTCCGCCGACACTGTCATGATTGCAGCCCAGCATGAACCAATGAAGCAGGAAACAACCAAGATGAGATAATGGTGCTGGCGGCATGCCTCCCGTGATGTAGACATAGTTTTCAGCGTGTGGCCCAGCTTGTGTGGCGGGAGGGGCGGAGCAAAGGTGTGGCAGACATCTCGAGAGACATGCCAATAGAACGTCCCATGGGACACGATCTACGGATCTGAGCGGTGACTCGGATTCACCACAATCCGCGTTTGAGTGTGAAACAAACAAGCCGACGACACCATCACCAACGAGCGCATCCGCACTAAACATATATAGCAATCAACCAAGTCAGAGTACTGCAGCGTCAGCCCCTCCTCCCGCGATATCAGCTTGAACGCCAGTTGGCTCGTCGGCTCGTCGGCTCGGCGGTTGGTCGGCGGTTGGTTGGTTGGTTGGCGGTTGGTTGGTTGGTTGGTTGGTTGGTTGGTTGGTTGGTTGGTTGGTTGGTTGGTTGGTTGGTCGGCGGCTTGTCGGCGGTCGGTTGGTTGGTCGGCGGCTTGTCGGCGGTCGGTTGGTTGGTCGGCGGCTTGTCGGCGGTCGGTTGGTTGGTCGGCGGCTTGTCGGCGGCTCGTCGGCAGGCGCTAAGCAACAACAACATCGATGGCCACTGCACTCGAGGCGCGAGCTGGGGCAGCAGGGATAGTTCCGACAGAGAACAGGGGCGCGAGCAAGACGGGAGGAGTATACGCTATCCGTGGTAGCAGGTGGTGTGAGGGGAGGTGGACATGTCGTCGTTCTCTGCCGTCTTCCCGCTAGATACCTCGACCGAAGCTGGCGTGGCCTCTGTGCGGCAGGCGTACCTCAATGCCTCGGCCATGGCCATCTTTGCCCTTGTGGGCTACACACTGTATCACAAGTACGTAGAGGGGGAGGGGAGGGTGAGGGGGAGGGGGGAGGGGGGAGGGGGAGAGGGGGGAGGAGGGGGGGGGAGGGGGGGGGGGGGGGGGTCATGGCTGTGGAGGACAGAGGTCCCACGCCGAGAGCCAGAGCCAAGAGCCAGAGCCATACCCAGCCCAGACTCACATAGCGCACACCCGCACCAAACACATGCACACGTATGGGACTCGCCATGGCACCCGCACGGCACACGTGGAATCTGCTCTCTCATGGGATGCCTCATCGCATGTCAGCCTCATCATATTCTCATCCTTCTTCAATCCGCTGCTCTGGGCCGCCCTCGTCGGCTTTGTCCTGCACTTTGTCAAGCTCCGCGCTGTGCGCTCGGTCCGCACCTACGTCGACTCGGCTGAGCTGTCGGCATCAGTCCACTCGCTGCCAGCGCTTCTGTATCTGGCTGCACTGCCGCTTGTCCACCTCGCCCATCGTGTCGACGCGCTCTCGACCGCCATCTTTGACTGGATCTGGGCCATGATCGAGTGGGCGTGGGCGCTGTCGTGGGCCCATTGCTCGCTGGCGGTGGCTGTCGCTAGTCTTGCGCTCGCTTGCAGCGTCGAACCGTCGACGTATTGGCTTCTTCATGCCGCGGCGTGCAATCTTGCGCTTGACGCCCACCGGACGCTCCTGTGGCTCGCAGACTGGTCGTGGGCCTACATTCTGCTGTCATGGCTCGCACTCTTGCTCTTCCGCTTCCGCATCCGTGCACTGGTCAAGCTCCAAGCTGGGCCCGGCCGCGGCGAAGAGCAAAGCGACACAGGCTCGGTCCAGCCGCACACCCGCTGGACGCGCTCCCTGCTCAACAGCCTCGACTGGGCTGTGTGCGCGGTGACGTTCACCATCTTCCCGGCCGCTCCGCTCTACGCCTCATGGGGCTCGCTCTGGTCGACGCTCTCCTCAGGCCTCTGCTGCGGGCTGGTCTACCTCGGCTACCTCCACAACCGCGAGGACGAGCCGGCGACAGCGTGCGGAACGCCAATCGAAGAGGGCGAGGCCGGCGCCAACGGCACGCCGCTCGACGTCGCTGACCTGCGCACGCCGGCCCAGATGCGCAAGGCGCCTGAGACCATCGACGTCCAGGTCATGTCGCGAGCGTCGTCACTGGCATCGGCCTACCGGCGGACGGTCGAGCAGGGACACGGGAGCCGGCGTGGCGGGCGGCGGCGGCGGCGGCGACGAGCAAAGAGCTCGTCCAAGGTGCATCAGTCGATGTGGTTTGCGCTGCTGTACGTGCTCTGCGCCGCAGTCCTCATCACCCGCTTCCCGCTTTTCCGCATCCTGGCCGGCGTCGGCGGCGTCATCGTCGGCGGTCTCGTCGTCGCCAAGGTGGTGACGCGCATCTTGGCTGGGCCGACCGCCTCCTGGTCATCGACCGTGGCGTACGCGTCGTCGACCCGGGTGGCGAGTGCGGCGGGGCGGGCATGGGCCGACGCGCTCTGGCTCCTCCGCCGCGTCTCGCCGGCGCCGGTGGTTGAGTTTGTGCGGCTGATGTGGGACGGCGTTGTCTATGCCGACCGAGCCATTGTGGCACAGCTTCGTGACAAGGCCAACGTCCTTGTCACACTCATGCTCATTGTGGCGTTCTTTGTCACCACCATGGGCGGCGGCACCTTTCTCACCTTTCAGCTCCAGGCCGAGTCGATGGTCATGTTCACCAAGTCGCAGCAGGTGTGGCGAGCGGCGACGCATGCGCCGCTGGTGGAGCGGGTCTGGTTCGCCTCGGTCGGCGCCCGCGACGCCGTCGCCATGGACGCCGCCTTTGCCTCGGCCTATGATGGCGCACGATCCGCCGCGCTCTCCTGGGTTCAATCACGGCTAGAGGAGGCCTTTGGTACAAACGTGAACATCACGTACATCGAGTCGCAGGTCACAGCATACTGGCTCAGCGCCGGTGGCAACGGCAACGGCACGGCTTCGTCCGGCAGCGTATCAGAGCCGCCTGGTGTAGCGAACGGCGGGCGCTCGCCGGGAAGCGGCGCAGGGCCAGTCCCATCCGAGGCGCCACTGGCGTGGATGGCGTCGATAGTGCGACAGGCGTCGGAGCTCCGCGTCCTGCAGTGGGTTCGTCGGCTTAAGCTCGCCCAAGTCCGCGAGACGGTGGGCGCGTACTTGAGCTCGATCTCACAGGCAGCGACGTCAACCTTTTCGTTTGTCTCGTTTGTCTTTTGGCTCTCCTTTGCTGTCCTCAAGGGCACCATTGACATGGCCGTCTCGCTCGTCATCTTCTTCTCCGCGCTCGGCTACTTTCTGGTCTCGGACACCTTCCGGCCGCTCGACATTCTGACCTCGTTCTTGCCGACGGCGCAGCTGCAGGCCAAGCTCCGCAAGGACGTGGAAGACACGCTCAACCAGGTATTCCTCGCCTCGATCCTCCTTGCCTGGTACCACTTCCTGCTCGTGTGGGCCACGTTTGAGTTTGTGGGCGCCGATCTCGTATACATCCCGGCCCTGCTCTCGGCCTCGATGGCAGTCATCCCCAAGTTCCCGTCGTTCCTCTTTGTTGTCCCGTTTGCCGTCGAGATGTGGCTTGTGCAGGACAAGCCGTACGCCGCACTCTTTGGCATGTTCCTCCCGCACCTGCTCGCGTGGTGGTTTGTCGACACTGCCATCCAGGCCTCCATCAAGCGCTCACATCCGTACCTGACCGGCCTCGCCATGGTCGGCGGCCTCTCGCAGTTTGGCCTGCAAGGCGCCATCTTTGGCCCGCTCCTCGTTTCTATGCTCATGATCGCCACCTCGTTCCTCACCTCGGAGGCCGCGGCCTCGGACGAGTTCATGGCCTCGTTCACTGGCGCAGGCTCGTCGCCCACTCCCCTGCCGCCGCTCGCCTTTCCCACCCCGGCCTCTGCCCCGGCCTCGGGCCCTGTCGCCCTCCGCAAGCGTGCCGCTCACCAGCGCGCCGCCGCCGCAGACTCGCCACTCGACGTCGTCGCCGCCAGACGCGGCCTCGACGTCGACGAGCTCGCTGCCGAAGGCGATGCTGTTGAAAAGTGATGGACAAAGGCTCAACTACCTGTCCAATTGCTTCTGTTGCATGCGTGTGTTTGTGTGTTGTGGCTGATTGTGCTACGCGTGTGCGCCCCCCCCCCCCCCCCTCCCTCCGCTCTTGCCCAGGCATGTATGGGCTATAACATCCAGAGCGTAGACGCTGCATCCCCCATCATCCCCATCGTCATTTGCGCAGCGGCTCGCCGTCCCACCGCCTCGCCGTTGCGTCACTCGAGTTGATGCGCCGTTCGGCAGTTTGCACAAGTTGATGCGATGCCGGCGTCACGGCAGCGAACGGACATGCGGCGCCGACGCCGGGCGGGCGCGGCAGGTGGACGACGAGGACGAGACGGAGCTGCTGCTGGCACTCCTACCTGCTTCTGAGCCATGGCTTGCCAGGGATGACAACGATGGGTCCGACCCGTAGATCGGATCGTCGGCATAGTCGGCCGGAGGGCCGGAAGGCAGCGGTGGCGAGTTGAGCAGCCGGCCTGGCAGCACTTCGTCACACTCGAGCGGAAGGATGCGCATGCGGGCCGGCCGTGGCGGCGACGAGTCGGCATCAAGGCGCCTCAGGCTCATATCACGTCGCGATGCAAGAGTCGGACTGTGCGGGCTGTGCGGGCTATGCGGGCTGGCCTGCGGACAGGCCTCCGGGGAACTCGGTTGATCTGTCTCCATCGCCAAAGTGTTCCTTGAACACGGGCGGAAGGCTGAGGAGTGAAGTGCTGGCAGACGCCCGGCACCATCTCATCGCATTCTCTCATCTCTCGAGCGTTCTAGCACGCGTGCGCCGCGGCCGGGTTGGGCTCGGCCTTCTTTATGTCGTGCACTGTGCACGAGGTATCGCGGGTGTCGCGGGTATCGCGGCTACGCCCCACTGCCTTCGATCTGCTGCTGCTCGTATGCGCTGTAGATGGCGTCGGCCTCGGCGAGGCGCACCTTGCACTCCTTGTACGCCTGGTACTGCGACTGAATGGGCGCCCGGTCCTCGACGTACTGGACTTTGCGCCCGTGCATGGCCATAAACTCAGACTGGTAGTGGTGGAGGAGCACCTGGAGCTTGCGCTTGCGGTCCTTGATGGTGAGGTAGAGCGCGTTGGTGGCCTTGGGAATCGAGGGGTTAAGCATGGGCGCCGTGACCGGGACAGCCGGGTCAAAGTGAGCAGAGACGGCGGCCTGCGCCGAGGCCGGCTTGGCTCCGCCCCGGCCGCCACCGCCGCCGCTTCCACCGCCGTCGGCGCTGCCGCCAGCCGAGCAAAGCGACTTGAGCTCGCGGTACCGCTCGTAGAGCGGGCGCATGACCTCTTTGTCAGCCTTTCGCGGCTGGACCCCGTGGCGGACTTCGTATGCCGAGTCGAACGCACGCAGCTCCTTCTTGATCAGCGACTTTTCCGCCTCCTGCTCTGCCGTAGTCATCGCAAACACGTCCTCGGGCCGACCGGCGTCGGCGCGCGCCCTGGCCAGCCGCCGCAAGACAGTCGGCAGCGGGTCGGCAAGGTAGGCATCGATCTCAGAGTCCGGCTCGGGCTGCTGCGTCTCGCTGCTCCCGTTCCCGCCCCCACTCCCGCCGCTTGCTGCCGCAAACGCTGCGGCAGCTGCTGCCGCCGGCTCTGCCACCTTGCTCCGAAGCGCTGCACTCGGCGACAGCGCCGCACCATGCTGTGCAAACCTTGCTCGTCCAAGGCGGCCCACCGGCGACGCTATCGACTCGACCGAGCCGGACTGGAGGGTGGCGAGAATGTTGGAAAACGACTGGAAGAGGGCGAGGGTGCCCTCGATGGGCGCCCACTCGCTCGGCAGTGGGTCGCGGTCGTGCCGCTTGGCAAACACCCGCTTGAACACCGTGATGTCGACATCAAGCTTGGCGATCTGGTCCTCGAGGTATGGAATGTCTGCCCGGGTCCACTGGTACTCGGTCACGACAGGCGTCTCGACCTTGTCTGCGTTCTCACCCAGCGGAGTTTTGCCGCCACTAGTGCCATCTCCGTTGATGGCGTCCAGGCTCTCGCGCCGCTGTGCACGGCGGACGGCCTCGACCCGCGACCGTCGGTTACGTGGCGAGTTTTGCGGGCCGTGGACCCGGAGCTGCCGGGCGGAGCCGCCAGCGCCAGCCGCCACGCTCAGCTCCTGCGACGACGACTTGATCAAGTCTGCAATCGACGAGTTGAGCATCGAGTCGAGCGCCCGGCGCGTCGGCGACTGGATGCCCTCGGCGGCGGTACCGGCCTCGTCGGCGTCGTGTAGCAGCGACTCGTCGACCGAGTCGTTGGGCGAGTAGAGGGCCTCGCGCGAGGCAGCAGCAGCGGCGGCGGTGTCGCGCGGCGGCGACGCTGGAATCGGGTTGAACAGCGGCTCGTAGAGGGCAAAGATGTCGCGGGTGATGGCGTTACAGTACGCGATGTCGCGCATGATGGCGTCCTGGGTATTTTCGCGCGAGTGCAGCATGTTCTGGCCAAATACGGTGGCCATGTTGTCGATGCCCATCCGCGACGTCGCCTCGTCGCGGGCCATGACCACCGCAAGCTCGGCCACGTACTTGACCAGCTCGTAGTGCAGCGGCGGGAGCTTGCCCAGCGCCGCGGCGTAGGCCTCGATCTGGGCCTCACCGGCAGGCGCTTCATGGGCGGCAACAAAGTCGTCGTAGAGCGCAAAGGTGAGCGGCGGGACCGGGAGCTCGCGCAGGTAGAGCTTGAAGAGCGACGAGACGGCAAAGACGTCGTCGAGCTCGTCGAGCGCAGCATCGCCGGCCGTCTCAAACGCGCTCCGCAGCTCTTGCACCACGTCGTCGGCTCCCGGTACGCGGAAGACGCCCTCTGTGGCGGCATGGGCCTTGAGGTACTCCCCGCACCGCCACACCACATACGGCAGCCGAGAGAGGACGGTCTGTGGCGGCGGAGGCCCCAAGGTGACCGGCGCAGACGCCGCTTGCGAGGTCACCACCTCCACCAGCTCCACCCCAAACATGGCCTCGCCCTTGGCCGCCTTCTTGCGCTTCTTGCGCCGGAACATGCACACGCGTCACGCTTGCTCCCGCTCTCTCTCCCGTTGCCTTGCCGGCTCTTGCGTCGGGTGTTCCCTAACCCGGTCTCCTCGCTCCTGCACTCCCCCCTCCCCCTCCCCCCCAACCGCTCCCCTCCCCTCCCTCCCTCCCCTCCCACCACTCCTCCTGTCCGCCCGCCAACCTCGGCACTTCCCGCCGCGCTGGGCGACCAGCCGACAAACCAAAAGCTCCAACCACCGCCGGGCAACGGTCAAAATTTTGGCAACCCATTTTACGACCGCACCCACCCCAACCCCTCCACCACATGACTACCACACACACTCCCTTATATTGAATGCGTTCATCCTATGCTGAAAATACCCGATCCCGTCTCGCTCTCGGAAGTCAAGCAGCATGAGGCTTGGTTAGTACTGTGGTGGGGACCACACGGGAATACCGAGTAACGCATTCTGTTTTCTTTTTGCCCAAACACACACCCTCCTTGCTTGCATGCACCACCGCTGACCCCACCATCGCCACATCAATCATTTCTCGTTCGTCGGGCGCGAGCTGCCCTGCCATGCCGTGCTTCAGCCAAGACTTCGGCAAGCCAGATTGCAACGCTCGAGTTGACCGCAAGCGCACCCTGCTCGACATCCATTGCCCGTGCAAGGAGGTCCAGGTTCTTGGTGGTGAGTGACGGCGGCCGGAGATGGCCAAACTTGGCGCGGAACTTGGCCATCCGCGCGTCGATGTCCTCGCCTGTGCCCGGCCCTCCACCACCAGTCATCGCCGCTTCGAAGTCGTCGTTCGACGCCACATCGTCAGCGTCGACCACAGACATTGAGCGCAGCGAGTCGGACATGCGTGATGCAGCCTCCACCACCCGCCCGGTCTCATCGCGCTCGAGCGGCGAGGCAAACAGCTCGCAGATGGCCTGCAGCGTCGCTTGATACAGCGCAACCATCTCGACCGGAAACTCGATCTTTTTTCCACTGCGCCGCGCCGGCGACCGCTCGCCGGACCCGACCGACGACGCACCACTCAGAACACGCGTCCCGCGCTTGTGCGTCCGCCGCTTGCGCCCGCCACTCCCGCCGCGACCCTCCACCGTCGATCCACGTCGCCCGCCACTATCACCGGCTCCGCCGCCTCCTCCGCTCCCGCCGCCCAACTCGAGCGGCGACGGCCTGGCTGCCGCCTCCTTCGCCGCGGCGATCTCGAGACCCAGCTCGTGCTGCTGGACTTGGAACTTGAGCTGCGAGAGCAGCTGGTGGACCCGCGAGACACCCGAGAGCGGGAGCTCTACAGAGCCCGAGATCTGCCGCGTCACGCTTCGGCTCCGCCCGCCCACCCGCGAGCCCGCGCGCGAGCCCGCACGTGAGCCCGCGCGCGACCCGC